AAAAAAAAGTAACCAATTATAAAATGAAACAATTCAACAAACCTTGGTTAACACAAGGGCTTTTAAAATCAATTAAAAGGAAACAAAAGATGTATAAATCGCATTTCCTCAGCAAGAATTCAAGAAAGATAAAAGAGTACAAACAATACTCCAATCTACTTAACAAAATAAAGGCCAAAGCCAAAGATGAGTATTGAAAGACTGGGCTGCAGCTTTTTCCCAAGGACTATTTTAGCCTTCAACAAATAAGAGTTTCTTTTTATATATATTTGCATACCCACATAGTTAAATGTTATTTCTTAAATATTTAATTAATTATCTTGTATTTCTAAACCCATTGTAGCCCAGTCCCTATCCACGCATGTAATTTTATATATTTGTTAAATAATTGTAACCACATTGTAATTCAGATCTTCTGTGAAAATGTGAGAAATAAACTTATCTACTCCACTTATAACAAATATTTTCAGCTATACAAAGAAAATCTGAAAGAAACATGGAAGCTTATTGGTGCGATCATTAAAAGGAAAACCAAAGCTCAATCAAATTACCCTTCTAGGATCATAAGAAATAGTAAGGTCTACACTAATGAACTTGACATTGCTAACCAATTTAATCAGCACTTCACTACTATTGGTCCTGATCTTGCTAGTGTAATTTATCCTACTTATGACGACCCACTAAATGTATATGCAATAGCCCCACAAATAGCTTCTACTTATCAGCTGTCATTGAAGAATATGTGATAAGGCTATTTTCAAATCTAAATGAAAGAAAGGCTTCATTAGATATTCCTAATAGGTTAGTAAAACTTGCTAGTCGTGAATTATCTAAACCTTTCACATACATTTACAATCAGTCAATCATACAAGGTATTGTAGCCAATGTACTTAAAGTCTCACTTATCTTAATTATGGTGCAATTATTGAGTAATTATTAATTACTTGAAGTCTCCCTTATCTTAATTATGGTGCAATGTATTGGGGCAACACTTATCAGACTAATTTAAAGAAGATCAGTACTAAACAAAATAAATGCATCCGAAATATCTTTTTTGCAAACAAACGGGAACCCTCTACCCCTTACTACCAAATCCTTGAAATTTAAAAATTTGAAAATGTTGTGAGATTCAAAATCTGCTTACTTGCATTTAAACTATATAACAATCCAACGACTATTCCTGCAATTTTCCATAATTTTTTAATACCTATAACAGCTGTCCACTCCAATAACACCAGACAATCCGCCAAACTTAATTTCTACCAACCACAAGTCAGAACAAACACAGGCAAATTTACTTTTAAGTACTCTTCTTCTGTTATATGGGCAACCGTCCCCTTGGCATTGAAAAAAATAAAAACATTTAACAGGTTTAAGAAACTTTATATGGCCCACCTGATATCTCATCAATCAAATAATATATGATATCTGTTTAGTGATCAAATATATAGTATGTAACCATCCATATGTAAATAACTATAGTAATAACAGTTGATAATAATAATAGTTGTCCGCTTATATGTAGGTCTTTGCTGCTGCTGCCGCTGCTGCTATTGTTGCTGATGATACGTTGTTCTTTTCCTCTCCTTTGTCTCTGTCTCAGCTTTGGTCCATTGTTGTTGCTGTTTGTTTGTTTGTCTGTATGTGTGTCTGTTCTTCTCTTATTAAGCTTTTCCTATACAGATTCTTGCTTGGTTCAATATATCTCTAACATACCTTAAACTTATAGCGGTAATTCTTTCTTGCACATTAATCCCAGCTCCGTACTATTTCTTTATTTATCAAAAAGTAGGTGGTGGCCAACTAGAAAACCTTTGCTACTTTGGCCACCACACACATTTTTATAATCTGTACTTTATTTATTTATTCTGTAATCATTTGTTGCAACTTTACTGTTCTATCTATTAATTTTATGTAAATAGTGTGAAATCAATGAACCAATGGCCTACCCTGTGGCCTACCCTATGGCCTACCCTATGGCCTACCCTATGGCCTACCCTATGGCCTATCGGGTGTTACGAAAACGAAGACCTAAGATCCGGTCTTCGTTTTCGTACTACGAAACGAAGACCCAGTAAACAGAAAACCGTGGAAATTACAACTTAAACACACATTAATTAAACAGCAACAACGCTTAGTAATATAATACATTACACTTCACGCGTTTCTTTCCCATTATGATACTGCTCGACTTTTATTATACGGCCCGTCTTGTCTGTTCTGTTTCGGTGTGCGAGCCAATTTGGTTTTGATATTCTCGAGGGTTTCCTCGGGTAAACTTACAACACATATTATTATTCTGGAACAGCAGGCAGAATTCGAACGCTAGCCGCCTTTGATTTATAGTTAGCATTGCGTGACAGAATAACAGAGAACGCGTTCTGTACAGGAAAAATGACTCTTGGGTTCTGTCAATAAATAATCAATTTCTACTGTATTT